GTTCCTTTTGTTGTCTAAATGAAAAAAAGTTTTTTTTTTTAAATAATAATAAATTTTAAATTGTATGGCTTTTGGGCTTCCTGTTTCAAAATGAAATGCATAAATATAGGAAGGACATTTTTGCTGTTCAGAATATTTGTTGGGGTCTCTAAAGAAACTAAAGAAAATTGACATTTTTTAAATAGATAATCTGGTTTAATCCTAAAGTAAATGGAAAATATTGACTTACTTTGTTCTTCACTTGGACATTGCCTCCAGCTTTGACCAGTAGCTTTACACATGAACTGAAGCCATGCCATGATACCTTATGCAAAGCAGTGTTTCCTTCCTGATGAAAGAAAATCAGATTCTATAGCATTGATTTTAACACAAACAAACAAACAAAATTCCCATGTACGATAGTCAGGATTTTTACATCTGACAGGTTTATTTACAGCTAACAAGATCCTTGAATCTTGATTCGTTTAAATTACAACAGTTCTGTTATTAATATTCATGATGAAACAAAAAGATGATTTATTGATTACAAATGAACAGACCTTGTCTTGTTGATCAAGTGCACAGCCTCCATGGATGAGGGCAGAGATAGCATCACGGTTTCCCACAACAGCTGCCCGGTGCAGGGCTGTCTGATGACCCTGGAAAAAACAAAAACACATCCAGTTTGATTTAACATTTAGCACTGTTGTGTGGCCATATATTCTATCTAAGCGCAAAGGCCACCAGAGGTCATACATCAGCCACATTAAAACTCGCTAGAAGATTGCAAATTGTGGCCTTGGCATAAATCACAAAAATATTGGCTTAAGCCTTCTTATCATTCTCTCAAGGGAATAATGGTCAACACAGACACAAAAAGAAAAGTAAAAGAGATAGACCATGAGTTTACATCTTCCAGGCCACCTTTGTAGCTGCCGTCTGCCCCCTGTGGAGTGAGCGCTGCCTCCGTGTGACTGTTATGTGAGACCAGGTGAACTGGATAGCAGCCGTGCTGTGGAAAACAAGACACGTATGCTCACATAAAAGAAATCACACGCAGATGCGCCACAATCCCGCACACAGGGACTTACAGACCGAGAGCGTATGACCAGCTGGCATTACTGACATTAAAAGAGTCACATGGGTAATCCCTCGCACAGGAACAGAGAGAGATTCATTGTAGTCTTTTCTTTAGGTCTATGGGCAAGAGAGAATATTTCTGGATAAGAATGAAACTCATCAGATCTCTGTGATTTAAGCTCTTGTTCTGATTTCAGGGCTGTCTCTGTAAATTTTGTGTGTAGCAACATGCTTCTCTTTTATAAAGCCAAATGAATGGTTAAATTAGGACAAAACAAGTGGTAGAATTGAAAAAAATAAACAAGCTTTATTATGTTTATTTCCATTATTCCACTAAATGTGTTTTTACTTTCTGAAATTTAGTGCGTCAACACAGGACAATAATGTGTATGGTAATGTAAAATATGTATAATAAATAATTGCAAAATCTAGCATTCAACTACAATTAAAAAATTAATTGAGACTACAGGATGGTAATAGATTTTAGCTCCATTGAATTGTGTTTAGCTCCATTGAATTTTATTGAATTGTATTGAACACCGCAGTCCAACTGAAAATGCTTGACAAACCAATCATCAAAAGGCTGATTCTGATATGACTAGAAATATAAGTTAACATAAATATTATAGTAATATTTTTATAAATATCTGAGAGTGATGATGACTTGATATTTCTTATGTTTATTCAATATATTTTAATCTGCATCAAGTTATGGTCTGAGTTTTTATTTTAAATATTTGATCAAATAAACATTAAATAAGATGAAATAAATATGTGTTGTTATTGTAAAATCAAAAAAGGTACTAATTTACTAAAATTAAAACTATTTGAAAAATGTTGTTAACTGAAAAGCTGAAATCAAATAAAATAATAAAAATGAATACATACAGTATGTGAAAAATTTGAACTGAAATAAATTGAAATATTAAACTGAAATAAAAACGAATTGAAGCTAAATATAAAAAACTAAATGACAAAAGCAAATAACAAAATTACTAAAACGAAAACTAAATAAAATTGAAAACTGAAAATATAAAAACTAAAAGCTAATTCAAAATATGAATAAATGTAATAATAGTGTATAATAACACTTTCTCTAATTAATGTCAAAATGAAAATGGTTTTTGTACCACGTCTCAAGAATCAGCGTTTTGTTGAACTGGCTTGAGTATTTCTCAGAGAAGAGCATGTGATGATCTCATTCTCTCACTGAAGAGTGATTTTGATTGCATACAGCAACATTGAAGCATTAGAGAGATAGCTGAAAAC